GTCCAAATGATCTTAATTCCAAGAATGACATCCGCATTTCCCATGTCTTTCATGTCAAATTTTCCATTGAGCATGTTCTTGGTTTGTTGAATGATATCTTTGTTACTGCCAATAATCAACATGTCATCCACATACAGACATAGTAAGATGTATCCGTTTGGAGTACATTTATAGTAGATGCATTTATCACATTCATTAATGCTGAAACCATTTGACATCATCACATTGTCAAACTTTTCGTGCCATTGTTTTGGAGCTTGTTTCAGTCCATACAATGATTTTCACGAGTCTACACACTTTGTGTTCTTGAACCTTAACCTCGAACCCTTCGGGTTGTCTCATGTATATCTCTTCTTCTAAATCTCCATTTAGAAAGGCAGTTTTAACATCCATCTGATGGATTTCCAAGCCTCGCAAGGCTGCTACACCAATCAATATTCTGATCGAAGTTATTCTCGTAACTGGAGAATAGGTGTCAAAGAAATCTGACCTTCTTTTTGTCTGAATCCTTCACCACAAGGCGTGCCTTGTACTTATCTATAGAACCATCAGCTTTCAACTTGGTCTTGAAGATCCATTTACACCCTAGTGCTTTGAACCCTTGAGGTAAGTCAGTTATCTCATAGGTATGATTCTGCATTATAGAACTCATCTCACTATTGACAGCATCCTTCCAATAAGGTGCTTCTGGTGTAGACATGGCTTCTGTGTAAGATCTCGGTTCATTCTCGACAAGAAAAACCATCATGAAATCTTCACCAAAATATTTTTCCGTACGAGCTCTTTTGCTTCGTCTAGGTTCATCTTCAACCTGTTCTACTTCCATCTCATTTACAAAAGTAGTGGCATACCATCTCATTTACAAAAGTAGTGGCATCTCTTTCTTCACGAGCGCGTTTAGTAGTTTGCTTATCACTATATGGAAATATGTGTTCAAAGAAAGAAGCATTCCTTGATTCCATGATAGTATTCACTTGGACATCTGATACATCTGACTTATATACCAGAAATCGATAAGCACTACTATTGTGAGCATATCCGATGAAGATGCAGTCCACAGTCTTAGGTCCAATCGTGACCTTCTTTGGAGGTGGCACTGTGACTTTTGCTAAGCACCCCCACAGTTTCAGGTATTTGTACGAAGGTACATTACCTTTCCAAAGTTCATACGGTGTTTTGCCAGTTACCTTATGAAGTATTTTGTTGAGGATATAATTTGTGGTGAGCAGTGCTTCCCCCCCCCCCCCACAGATTCTTGGGTGTCCCAGATTCCTGCAACATTGCATTCATTATCTCCTTCAGAGTTCGGTTCTTTGTTTCCGCAACTCCGTTGGATTCAGGTGAATAGGGGGCTGTAGTTTGATGGATAAATCCGTTTATCTGGCAAAACTCATTGAAAGGTCCATCATATTCTCCACCCTATCACTTCTGACCATTTTGATGGTCTTTACCAGTTGCTTTTCAACTTCGAGTTTGTACTCTTTAAATTTGTCCAAGATTTCATCTTTACTACGCAGCAGGTACACGTAGCTGTACCTTGTACAATCATCAATGAAAGTCACAAAATACTTTTTACCACCTCTTGATGGTAGATATTTTAAATCGCACAGAACAGTGTGGATTTGTCCAAGAGGTTCGGTAGTTCTTTCAACATGAGGTGATGGTGTTTTTGTGAGCTTTGCTTGGACACAAATTTCACATTTGTCTTTGCTAATTTTTCATTTTGGAATCATGTTCAAATTCATCAGTCTTTGAATTGACTTATAATTAACATGTCCTAAACGTTCATGCCAAATATTAGAAGACTCAACCACATAAGCAACTGGATTCTTATTAATTAAATCTTTGGAATCAAGTACAACTTTGTTTTTATTCAGGATTGTCATTACAGACATTTTGATCAATCCTGACTTAACATAACCTTTTCCTATGAAAACACCATTCTTCCTAAGTATTAGCTGATCAGACTCAAAGTTGGTTGCAAAACCATGCTTTCTCATTAGAGTACTAGAGATCAGGTTCTTCCTCATGTCTGGAACATGCTTCACGTTGTTGAGAGTAACCTCCATGCCTGAAGTCATCTTCAACATAACTTTTCCAATACCTTCAATCTTGGATTGGGAGATGTTTCCCATCTTCAGTTGATCATCAGTCTTGCACCTCTGATAGGTACTGAACATCTCTCTGTCAATACAGATGTGTGTGGTAGCACTTGTGTCATACCACCACGCCTTGGGGTTCTCTTCCACCAAGTTAGCCTCGGTAACCATTGCACACAGGTCTGCTTCAGTCAAGTGAGCTTGGTTGTTCTCAGACTTAGCCTTTCGGCGACACTCTGAAGATTTATGTTGTTGCAGTAGTTGCACTTCCCATTGAACTTGTTCTTCATGGGTGCTTGACCTTGCTTCTTGAAGCTAGTGTTGTTTCGTGGAGGAAACTTGTTAGGCACAACTTTGTTGGATGGTTTGCCTTTGCCCTTTTTCCTGTACTCAGCCACGTTTGCATCATGGGTCATGATCTGACCATCTTTTTTTTCCAACTCTGTCACGTTTTAGTGACTCATTCTGCAATCTGAAGATCAGATTTGCCAGAGACAGGGCCTTTTGCTTTTAAGCAAGATAGTTCTGGAAGTCTGCCCAACTTGGAGGTAACTTCTCAATGAAGCAGTTCACCGTGAATGTCTCACATAGCTTCATTTCTTCAGTCCTAATCTCTTGAATGATTAGTTCCAGCTCGTGCACTTGTGGCATGATGGGACGAGAATCCACCATCTGAAACTTGAGGAGTTTTGCTGTAGCGAATTTTCCAGAGCCGACGTTGTACGACTTGTACTTCTTTTCCAAAGCATCCCAAAGTTCTTTGGAAGTTTTAACCTCGCTGTACACATCGAACAGCTGGTCCACCAGGCGATTTTTGATGTGCCCTTTGCATAGGAAGTCTAAGTGTTTCCACGCTTCAACAGTAGCCAGAATCGTAGCATCTTTGTTTCCTTCTGGCACCTTTGGGGGATCCTCTGTGAGGTACTTGCTCAGCTGCATTGACGACAGAAAGAAGTGCATCCTTTCTTGCCATTGCTTGAAGTTCGAACCATCGAACTTGTCGGGCTGAAGTCCCGCGGTTACCGACGCTGGCATCCTGACTTCACCCGAGCTTCTATTGGTAGTCATGTTGACATCACCGTTAGTCATAGTTGAATCTGTTCACAGAAAATAACCAAAGTTAGTATTGAGAACCAAGATTCAGATCAGCGATTAAAACGTTTTAGTCGCTATGAACAACGTTTTTCCGAAAAAGATTCGCTTTGAGTTTCCACAGATATTACCAATAGGTATTCTTAGAACTCGAAAATAGGTGTTCCCAGAATCGTCTTTTGAAGACGTTCTTAAACCCTAACACGTTTTGCGGACCTGTCTATGACTGCTGCATAAACCGTTTAAGAAGATTCGTCTTTAATAGATCAAAAGTTCTACGAAATAGCTAAGAAACTTTCGCAGACACTTTGTAGATCAATTTTTAAAAACTCATTTTTTCCAAAACCGTTTATAAAAACTGTTTCGCAATATTTAATCCGATTCAAGCGATAAGCAGAAAGCGGATTTATTGAGTTATGATTGTAGGATCGCGAAAAATCCGATTGAAATCACGAATAGAATATAACAATATTATAAACGATATGTTAAGGTAAGAGATTAAAACGAGAGTTAGAAAACCGATTGAAAACAGACGAAAACACGGAGTCGAGATATGATCTCTTTCCTTAACTCAATAAATCGCCGGTAATGTGTGACCATATGGTGCAATTTTTGAATCCCAGGATACAACTGTGATGAGACTATTACGCAACACCCGTAATAGAATCTGTAAACTGAAAATTATACTACGCTATAGCTCTCGAGACACTTACGATATTAAGACGTGAAGGATTTGCTGGAAAGAATTATTTGATGTGTGTTTGGTGTATTCGAGAATTCGATGATGTAGAATGAGAGAAGAGGACGTCTATTTATATTAGAAGGTTCAGCTTGATCCGCAAGGAATATGCTTTGGCGAAAAGGAATATTCGCAAGATATTCTCCTTTTCCTGCAAGTAAAAAGATTTGAAAATCTTCCGTTATTATCTGGACGCAATCTTTTATTTCCAATTTCGCAGGAACTAAGAAGCACACGACCAACACCCAGCTATATAGAGCCCAAGAGCCCAAGAGCTCAAGAGTCCTAAGAGCTAACTAAAAAATGCAACGAGCAACGAGCCCGACACCGGCACCGGCGACGGCGGCGCGCATAGGTGTTTTTGCATAATGCCATTTTACTTCCACATGCTGTTGACCCTTATTGTGAGAAGGTCATATATATACAAGAGATTTTTCTCCTTGCTGAGCAATGTGAGACAAATACACTTCCACTAAACTTCCACTTTTAGTTATAGCCAATAGGAACATTTCATTTCCATAGGTTCAAACCCAAATCTCAAATGAATTTATAAGGCACATTTGTTTATTAAACTTCATTTCTTATTCACACACAAACTTAATATTACAAGTTCAAATGTTTATTAATATTGGATTCCAACATAATCACGATCAAGACCTCTCATCGCTAACCCTACATTAACGTTCTTCAAGGATCCACAAGAAGCTTCTTCACTTCTTTCCTCATGTTCTTTTAAACCCCACATAGCCCAATTACTCTTTCCTTCTCCTAAAATGAGACTGAAGAACAAAAACGTGCTCATGAGTCTCAACAATAAGATCTCTCGAGACGTTGCATATATCCATTAGCCTCAACGAACCATCAAACATTAATTAAAGATGAATAATGCAAAGGTTTAATAACCGCATAACATATGCAAATCAAAAACAAAACCCACACATGCATAGGCACTGAATGTAGTTATAATCTTAATTCATTATACATATTCTAAAGATGAATACTTGTTGAACACGATCCAGGGCCGGGAAAGCTAGGAAGAAACATTTGGAAACAACTCTGCTCAGGTGTCGTTATTCTTGTGATACTACCATCACTAGCTTGAACACCTGAATCTCACATTCTTTATTGGTGAAGTATATAGAATTTCCCAAGCAACCGTAGAACTCATTAGCCAAAACGGAGAAACCATAGTCTGTAGCCACCAGAAACGCATTGTCTCCCACTGAGTTAACCTCTACCCATTTCCCCAATTCCTCATGTATCCCGTAAACCTTGAAACCGACCGTTATGGGACTGTTCAAATCCGGGGATTCGAGATCTGATGGGTGACATATCACGTTCTCAACGTTGTCATGTAACACATAGGCAAAACAACCAACAGGAGGAACATGACCATCCAAGTTGAATCTCTCTCGTGGTTTCTCTTCAAGGAGACGATCCCCATATATAATTTCTCTCTTATCATTCTTCTTTCGTTAACATATAAGTTATACAATTATATAATTTATTATTAAACTACATACTTTGTTAGCGTGATAAGTTTTTGCATTCTATAAAAAAAAGTTTTTGCATTTTTTGACACCTCTAAATTGCTATTTTTGGTTCAATAACCAATAATAACAGATTTTGATATGTTAAAATATTTTGTTGGATCATATTAATATTTAAATATATATATATCTATATATTTATTTAATAGATAATGAAATTGTTGATTGTTAACTTTCAAATTAACATTTCTTTGACGTAACTCATCTAGATCTCCATCATCAACAATCTTTTTACCAATCTCAGATCCATAATTTCAGAGAAAGAGACAAAACTGAAATAACTTTAATTTAGATTAGATGAACAACTTTGATTACTTCTCTCATGGAAATCGAAATCGAACCACAACCTAGACGATTTAAGGACAAAAACCCACCACCTACCCCAAATCAATCCAGATTAGCCTTTTAGGATCTATAGAGAGAAACTTAAGAACATGCATAATCTCTGACCAAAAAAAAAAAGAATATGCATGATCTTAGATAGGCGAGTTGGAGAGAATAGAAGTAAGAATGTATTGTGTGAGCCAAAACTCGCACAACCAAAAATTTGCTAAGGAAAACTTAAGGGATCGAAAACTTCTAGGGTTTATCGCAAGAACAGTAAGATCGAAAGAAGGTTTTTATTGCCGTGAAAGTGTTTAGTCTTTATTGCTTAGGATTGCAAAAAGTTACATAATGAATCGCAGAGATATCCTATTTATACTAATTTCTTGAACCGCTTAGCTGAGAATCTCAGGAGAGATTTTCGGAACATTTCCTTATCGCTTCGTGCGGCCACCGTCATAATACTTCGCTTAGGGCTTTCTTATGGGCTTCCGTCTTTCAAAGCCTTGGTTCGGCCCAAAATCGGCTCGGCTCATTCCCCTTCTTATGCTGCTCGGCCCATTTGCTTTCTCGCACAGCTCGGTCCCTTCGCTATCTTGCACAGCTCGGCCCATTTACTTCCTCCTTACGACTCGGCCCGTTCACAGCTCGGCCCATTCCTCTCGTGCGCGGCTCGGTCCACTCGTCTTGGTGAGCGCGGCTCGGCCCACTTGTTTTGTGGGACAGCTCGGCCCATATTTGGTGGGCAGCTCGGCCAAATTGGTTTTCTTCTATACTTAATAATTTTGAGATGGTTTTATCCGCTTGAGGTGAAACTGAGCCCAAAAGTTAGCCCCCCAGCTCGTCAGTTTCGGAGACGAGAGTGACGAGGTTCCTTGCTCCTGGACATGGGATAAACCATCGAATTAGGCCGTTGCGAAACGATCCCAGGTGAGGCGTTTTGGGAATAAAAGTATCGAGCCGTTCTTCGACGAGGCATAATAGCGAGCTGGCGAGGCTGTTTGAGGGAAAATGTCGAGCTATGTTTATCGACGAGGCGTTTCAAGAAAAAGATAATGTCGAGCCGTTTTGTTAAGGACGAGGCGTTTCAAGATAAAGATAATGCCGAGCCGTTTTGTTAACGACGAGGCGTTTCAAGAAAAAGATAATGTCGAGTCGTTTTGTTAATGACGAGGCGTTTTCAAAGAAAGTTACCGAGCCGTTTCGTGTTAATGATAACGGCGAGGCGTTTTACGTCAGTAATGCCAAGCCGTGTTTCAAGATAACGACGAGGCGTTTTCAGAGAAAGTTACCGAGCCGTTTCGTGCCAATGATAACGACGAGATGTTCTTATGAAATCGTCGAGCCGTATCGACAAAGCACGGCTCGGTTCACGCAGTTTGAGACATTCTCGGATAACCATAGCTGTGTCGTGGGCTCGGTTTACCTGGACAGAGTGACTGTTAGTTCTTTCCAAGACATCTTGAGTGTTGGCGGACGCGCCGAAAAGTTATGCATTCGCCGCGGATCTCACGCGCCCCTTTTTGAACACTTTTGCGTCATCCCGAGGTCCACGCGGATTTCACGCGCTTCGGTTATCCTATAAATAGGTGAGCTCCTCCATTCCTTCTCATAATCTTCAGATCCACTCGTTTTCACTAAAAGGTAGCTATCCCTTCTATCTTCTTTCTCTCTCTAGTTTATTTATTTTCCGGCTAGGGTTCCGAGGTCTCGCCGCTCCAGATCTTTTTCCGACGGAAGTCCGCCGCGTAATATTGTAATTCCCGTATAAGCTGTAAATCATGTCGAACCGTTCCGACGACTCATTGGATTCACTTTTTAACTACGAACCGAGCCGTGTAGATGCTGAGGTGGGAGGTGTTACAGGATCTTCCGAGGCACATATCTTGCCGAGCCCTTCCAACCGTGAATCTGAAGGTGACGAGGCGTCAAATCGCTCCGATCCGTCAGGCGCTCGCTCTCCAGATGACGAGCTGTCGGTTTCGACGAGCCGCCCTCAGGATCCCGCTCTCGACGAAGAGGTTAATCATGCCGCAGTGAAAGCCGAGGATGAAGCATTTCCCTTTGATTTGTTCGAGGCGAAGCGTGCATTAGAACGTCTCATGGCGTCCCGAGGTGCCTCTACATCTGGGCGAGGGAAACGAGTGAAAAGACAAAAACCTGACCCGCCCGGCTCTACGCTCTCCTCCCCTGACTCATTTGAGGCGTTGAGATATCGTTTCAGGATATCCGAGGCGGTGGAATTTGTCGTCTCAGAGAAGAATGATCGAGCCGACAAACCTCTTGAGAATCACTTCACTCTATACGAGGCGTTCTTCGAGCTTTGCTTTCTCTGGTTCCCGATCCCCGGAGTTATCCTTGAATACCTCTGGAAACATGGGATCTCAATCGGGCAGATCATGCCGAGGGGTCTGCGGCACATGATTGGTATTTTGGTTCGAAGCTTTGAATGCGGGCTTGATATTGAACTGAATCACCTGCTAAACTTGCTGGAAATCAGGAAAGCTCTGAAGGGAGATAGATTCTATATTTCCAACAAGTCCAATCGCCGGATTATAGGCGGTTTTCCAAGCAAAGATCAGTTATGGACCGAGCACTTTTTCTACGTCTTGGTAAACGAGGCGTCAGTTGCCGAGGACTACGTTCACAAAACAAAAACCGCTTGGGGACCACTTGGTAGCCGATCTGAAGCTTTGCCTCGGCTCGGAACTATTTATTGTATATACTTTCCTTACCGAGCTGATTGTTCCCGTGTTGTTTTTGCAGTTCGGAACATTGTTCCCCCGATTCCCGACGACCTCTTTGTTGTTTGAGATTCTCTTTCGGCTCGGAGAGTTAATTGGAGGAAGCATTTTTCATTCGAGAGAGTGGAAAGAGCACGAGCCATTCTTGCCGGAGTTTCTGTTAGCTCTTCTTCTTCAAATTCTTTGCTAGACACAAGGGAAAAAATGGTGATCATTACCCTTAGAAACAAGAAAAGGCGTGAAGAAGAGGAAGCTGCGAGACGAGCCGCCGAGGCGGCTTGAACAGAGGCCAAGGCTGTCCCTCAGAACGATCCGCCGAGCCATGAAGGTGAAGGCACGATCCGAGCCGCGGAGACAAACGTTGCCGAGGCGGCCGGGAATGAAACAGCGCCCGAGGTGGAACCAGGCGAGATTATTCCTGAGGCGCCCAAAGATGACTCTGCGGCGCGGAGTAAAACTCCTCCAAACTCAGCTATTCTGGCTCTTCCGAAGTCATCGAGGCCCCCGACTTTGGTTGTACAGAAGCCTGATTCTAGCCGAAAACGTTCGGCTGCTGATAAGGGGAAGGGTGTTGCTGTCCAAAAGGACGAGCCGTCCAAGAAGAAGCGCAAGCAGGCTCCCGGTGATCCCGCTACACGCAAACTGGTTGTCGATGACCCTGACGCCTCGGCAATAATGTTTGCATGTGTTAATAATGCGAACAAGTGTCTTCCTCCTCCTGAGAAGCTGAGGAGACCGATGTCGTACGGCGCGATGGCACAGCGCGGTACCAAGGTATATTCTGTTTGCTCTCCTTATTTTATCGAATTCTCACCAAGTGTTTAACGCGCATTATTCCTTGCAGTTTGTAGCAGCCATCAACGAGCTGATGGCTGAATACGAGGCGGACCTGTCTAAGGTTGTGCGTTGCTTGGACGAGGGTCGGAACGAGACCGCGGCGGCGAAGGAGAAGCTGGACAAGGCGATGACCAGGCTGTCGAGGCTGGAAAAGGAGAAGATAGTTCTCCGCGCCGATGTTGACAAGGTCTCTGCCTTGGTCATTCGCCTCGAGGAGGCTAGGAGAGCCAAAAGCACCGAGGTGGCGTTGCTCAAAAGGCGTATCGAGGCCAAGGATGCCTTGTTTAACGCCAAGGTCAAGCGTGCGAAAAAGGAAGTGAGGCGAGAGCTGACGGCTAAGTTTCTGGAGCGCATCGCCAAGGTAGAGGAAGGTTTGGCCAAGCTCGAGAAGGCCAAAACCGACGAGAACAAGCTGGGGCAAATCAAGGGCAACCTTGCGATGATTGCCGACCTGAAGAAACCGGACGCCCCAACGCTCGATGATGAAGAGGCGAAGCTAAAGAGCTGGGAGACCGAGTACGCCGACGACGAGGCGTATGAGCACATTGCCTCCGAGATTCGAGGTGAGCTGGTCTTCTCGCCCGTACCGCCGGACTCGGTAGACACCAGCCTTGGTAACGAGCCGCTCGAAGGGACAGCGGCTAACTTGGGCGTCGTAGATCCGACCGGATCGAATGCAGGTACGCCAGCCCTCTCGAACCTCCTTGCCGAGCATGAAACAAAGTCCGCGGCTTGATCCTCTCTGTTTTCCCCTATCTTTCGTCTCATATGTTATCCGTTTCTCGAACTTCTTGTGTAACCGATGCCTGGATGGCTTTATCCACTTTACTGTTGATTTTGCTTTTGGTTATATTCTCTTTTCCTTAGCCGTTTTTGGATTTGATATGTTTATCCTTGACGACCTATGAAATTTTTTACGAAAACTGTTTGTTTGGAAAGAGTTGTCGTTGATTGGCTTATCGAGCTGTGTCGAGAATGATCTCGACTGTTTTCCTGGCCGAACTGTTTTCGATAGATCGATATAAGACCGGGCTAAGAATTCTGTTTAAGTCTAGATCCCGAGCTGGGAGTTGATTTGTGGAGCGTCTCCATTTTAGTTGACACTGAGGTGTGTTAAGCGATAAAGTCGAGGCATCTTTCATTGGAAACGCCGAGCCGTGTTTAACGATGAGACGTTTTCGTTATATGATGCCGAGCCGCGTAAACGACGAGGCGTTTCATTTTTATTAACCAAAGGTGATTTCGGGACTCTTAATGGGATTTGTCCATTCTACCACTGAGAGAGGTCCTCAGTGAGCTGTTTTATATTGTTTTGAGAAAGAATTTTCCGACTAACGCCGAAGTATTTTTCAAGTAAGTTATGTGTTTTCTCGTCGACGAGGCAAAAGTTCAAGAGGATATTTTATTCTCTTTGGAATATGACTATAGACCGGCATTCCCGAGAAGGTGAGTACGTTTTGCGGGTTTTTAGAGTTCACTTTGGTTTTAGAGAAAGCGATGTAGTCTCGACTTATAATCTCGTGTGCGATAGTAAACTGTGGCGACCGATACGTTTTTGGTCTGAAATTTGTATAGTGCGCTTGATTTTTATCCGTAAAGGATGTAACTTGCACCCTCGTCCTAGGAAAAGTGGTAAAAGTCCGTTTAGAGAAATTTGTATTTGTTGTCCCGTTGTGGCCAGCAACGAGACGAGGCGTTTGGAGACTTAGTTTGCCGGACTGAAACTAAGGACAAGTAAAGGTCCGAGGCGATCAAGTCATGATAACTTGTCGAAGTGATATGATATTTCGCCGAAATGATGAGTGAACGAATTAAAAATCCGAGGCAAACATGAAATAAGTTGCTAATTTAAAAAGAATGAGAAACTAGCCGAAGCGACAATGAACGAACTAGAATTCCGAGGTGAACATGAAATAAGTAGATGATTTAAAATGAACTGAAAATTGGCCAAAGTGGAAATGTTCCTAGAGATGGTAGACGAGCTAAAATTGTAGAGTTAAATGAAGGTATGTGTATACGTACCCACTCCCCCCCCCTTTTAGAAGGGGGGACAGCTGAACCCGTCCGAGGACGGGCTGCCTACGTACCCTTTGCAGGGATCAAGCCGTCCTGTAGTTCATGTTGACCGTGTTGTAGCCTTAGTGATAATATTTCTTCAGGTGCATTGATTCCATGATCTTGGAATCGCTTCGTCAGCTACCGTCGCGAGTTCGTAGACTCCTGGGCGAACTACTTTTGTAATCTTGTAAGGACCTTCCCAGTTTGCTCCGAGCTTTCCTGCATTCTTCTCGGCAGTGTTTTGGAAAACCTTTCGAAGGACGAGCTCTCCTTCTTTGAATCTTTGACTACGAACATTTTTGTTGTAGTATCTCGCCGTTGCTTGTTGATAGTTCTGGATTCGGATTAAATCCTGGTCGCGCCTTTCGTTGACTAGATCGAGCTCATCCAGAATCATCAAGTGGTTCAAGCCCTCCTGTCCTGGGAGGAGTCTTCGTCAAATACCTGGGAAATCCACCTCGGGGGGAATTACGCATTCCTCTCCATAGACTAGAGCGAATAGAGTTTTTCCGGTGGCTCGGCGTGGAGTTGTTCGATGCGACCAAAGGACTCCTTCGAATTCGTCTGCCCATCGTCCTTTCTTTGCGTCGAGCCTCTTCTTTAGGCCGTCTAGGATTGTCTTGTTGGCTGCTTTGGCTTGTCCGTTCCCTTGAGGGTACCTTGGCGTAGATTTGCTCAAACGGATTTTCCATTTCTCGCAGAAAGCTTCAAAGCGCGTCAAGATGAACTGGGATCCGTTATCGGTGACTATCTCGTAGGAGACCCCGTGTCTGCAGATGATATTTTTCCAGACGAAGTGTTTGACTTGGACATCCTTTATGCTTGCGTAGGAATCGGCCTCGACCCACTTGGAAAAATAATCCGTGAGGACGAGCAGAAAGCGCTTCTGCTTCGATCGATGTAGAGGTCCGACTATGTCCATCGAACATCTCATGAAAGGATAAGGTGACGAAATTGATGACAGCAGCTGAATTGTTGGAGCGTGCCGTTGACACTTCTCGCACTTCGCCGTAAATTTCTCGCAGTCCTTAACCATCATAGGCCAGAAGTAACCGTGCCGTTTTATCTTGATCGCGAGCGACCTTCCGCTAGAATGGTTTCCGCACGCGCCGCTGTGCACTCCGTGCATGATCTTTCTTGCCTCCGGTCTTTCGACGCATGTCATGAGAGATCCTGAAAATCTCCATTTAAACACCTCGCCGTCGACGAGGACATACCGCGCGGCCTGAGCTTTTAATTTAAGGGCTTCCCACTTGTCGGTTGGCACTTCTCCATCGGCGATATATACTCGGATGGCTCCGAGCCATTCTTTGTCGCAGCCGTACTCCAGCTCGGCTGGTGAGGCGTCTTCGTTCATAGCGATGGCTTCGTCGTTCTCTGGTTCTTGTTCAAGAGGATTTATCATCGAACTCCTTCTACCTCTTCGATGCTAGGACGTTCGATGAATTCAACTGCAATCGTCCGTCGGAAATCCGGGTCTGAGGTCGAAGCAAGTGCTGCCAAGGCGTCAGCCGAGGTGTTTTCTCCTCGGCGTATTCAAGTGAGCTCGAACTTGTCGAACTTCAGCTCCAACTCTCGGACCACCTTGAGGTAAGCTCCCATTCGTCCATCCTTCGCCTTGTATTCTCCGTTGAATTGACATGCTACGAGCTGTGAATCGCTAAAGATTCTTATCAGTGCTTCGTATTCTCCTTCATTGTTCGAGGCGTGGATGTTTAGGCAAAAAGACTGCTCCAATATCTCTCTTGTGGGAGAGGTGAGGCGGATTCCTATTTCTGAGCCGTGTTTAGATGACGAGCCGTCGACGTGCAGCATCCATACTTCGTCTGGGATCGGCTCGTTCGTTGCATCGGCTGGGAGTTCGATGAGAAAATCTGCAAGCACATGTGACTTTGCAGACGACCTGTTCCGATACTCTATGTTGTACTCGCTCAGCTCTATGACCCACTTGGCGAGCCGACCGGATTGGCTCGGGCTGTGTAGGATCGAGCGCAGCAGAAGTGTAACGAGCACAACAATCGAATGTGATTTAAAATATGGACGCAGTTTGCGAACCGAAACTACGACGGCTAGGGCGACTTTCTCGATCTGGGGGTAGCGGGCCTCGGCGTCGGTCAGTGTCTGGCTAACGTAGAAGATGAGTTTTTGCTTGGACCTTTCTTCTCTGATAAGCACCCCACTCGCAGTTGTAGCAGATACGGCGATCTAGAGGAAGAGAGGCTTTCCTTCAACTGGTTTTGCCAAGATCGGCGGGCTCGCCAGATAACTCTTCAATTCATGGAAAGCTGCTTCGCATCGCTCGTCCCACTCGAATTTCTTATTTTCCCGAAGAGTGTCGTAGAAAGGCAGGCACTTGTCGGTGGAACAGGAAATAAATCTGTTTAGCGCTGCGACCCTTCCTGTAAGCTTTTGCACTTCTCGCTTCGTCCTTGGTGAGGTCATCTCGATCAATGCTTTGATCTGCTTGGGATTCGCTTCAATGCCTCGGTGAGTTACCAGATAGCCGAGAAACTCTCTTGAAGTAACCGCGAACCTACACTTTGCCGGGTTTAGCTTCATGTTGTGTTCGTTCAACTGCTCGAAGCATTCTCGTAGATGCGTGATATGTTCTTTCTCTTCGAGTGATTTGACTAACATATCATCGATGTATACCTCCATGGTTTTTCCGAGCTGAGCCGCGAACATTTTATTGACGAGCCGTTGATATGTTGGTTCTGCGTTCTTGAGCCCGAACGGCATGACTTTGTAGCAGTATATCCCGCGATCAGTTATGAATGCCGTTTTTTCCCGATCATTGGGATGCATCAGGATTTGGTTGTAGCCAGAGAACGCGTCCATAAATGTTAACAGCCTATTTCCCGCAGTGGCTTCGACGAGCCGGTCGATGTGCGACACGGAAAAACTGTCTTTTGGGCACACCTTGTTGAGATCAGTGAAATCTACACAGATCCGCCACTTGCCGTTCTTCTTCTTTACAACCACTGGATTCGCGAGCCAGTCTAGATATTTGGCCTCAGCGATTGATCCTACTTTGAGCAATCTCTCCACTTCGTCGTTAACTGCTTTAGCTCGTTCGGGTATGAGCTTCCTTCTTTTCTGCTTGATTGGTTTGAAGGTTGGATCCACATTCAGCTCGTGACAGGTCATGTTGATGCTTATCCCGACATATCTTCTGCTGTCCAGGCAAAAATGTTGATGTTCTCTTTGAGGAGAGAAAGAAGTTTGCTTCTCAGAGGTTCTTCTAGTTTTGCTCCGATTTCAACGCATCGTTCTGGACGCGCTTCGTCTATGTACACCGAGTCCACTGCATCACATACCGGCTCGGCGCGCGTTTTGGCGGCTCTCCGCGATCTGTAATTGCTATAAGAGTTTCGAGAGGTCGTTCGCAGGCTCTCGGTCTGTCTTCATCTTTTTGCGATCTATGTCTGCTCGTGCGTCGGTGACAGGATTCCTCAGCTTGTGCTCCGCTAAGCAGCATATTCGCGACTCCTTCTGATTTCCCCAGATCGTTTTGATGCCTGCTGGAGTCGGGAATTTGAGGCAGAGATGATAGGTGGAAGAGACCGCCCTCATCCCGTTGATCCATGGAGTTCCCATAATACATTGTAGATTACTGGGTGATCGGTGACGCAGAATTCGACGATCTTAGTGACTCTGCCAGCTACCACAGGGAGCCTAATTGTTCCCATGGTCATCGTTGTTTCTCCTGAAAATCCGGTTAGGGGTTTGGGGATTGCCGTCACCTCGGAGAGATCGATTCCCATCCTTCTGAGCGTTTCCCTGAAAATGACGTTTACCGAGCTCCCAGTATCGATGAGCACCCTCGGTACATCGTGATCCCTGATCGTCAATTCGATCACCAGTGGATCATTGTGTGGTCTATCGATTCCTGCTGTTTCCTCCTCGGCGAAGGAGATCACTGTGTTCGGGAGATCGGTCGGTTCTGTCCAATTTTCCTTAGCTTCGGCTCGCCGCTGGTAAGCTTTGATGGAGGACACCATGTCTTGGTAATATTGAGATCCACCCTTGATCATGTTGATCCTTTGCCTCGGCTCAGGTCGCTCTTCGGGTTCGCCTCTCCTGTCGCGTTTGGAGTTAACGCCTCGTTGGGGAGGATTTGCGGGTTCTGCCGCGCCACTCAGCTCGGCTCCTTCTTTTGGTTCATTAGAGACGAGGTCTTTGAGGTTAACCGCGTTCTGGAGCTCTCCCGCCGCCATCTTAGCTGCGAGTTTTGCTCCTAGGGTTCGGCATTGTGCCGTTGAATGCCCGTAGGTCTGATGATACTCGCAGAATGCCTTTTCGTCATAGTTGGTGGGCTTTCTTACCCAGGTGTTTGTTGCGCGGCTATCCTCTTCCGCGTCCAGTGCCTACTTGGTAGTTGTGGGCACCTCCGCTTCTAGGTTCGTCCGAGCTCTGCGTTGTTGCGTTGTTTGATGGATTGCCTTTCTTCGAAGGGCGCGCCAAAATCGAGCTTCGGATTGCTGCTTTCGTTGCTTCGTACTGCTCGTCCAGATTCTTCATCTCTTCCTCGTTTACGACGAAGTCTGATGACCGATGCAAGGTATCTTGAATCGTTTGTGGTGTGTTGAGTTCCATTTCCCGTTGAAATTCGGATTTGTACCCTAAAGATCGTTTCAGAGCTTCGAGTGCAGCCTTGTCGCTTATTCCTTCTATTTTGGATACGACCGCCTTGAACCTTGCCATGTAATTCCGAAGCGGTTCATTCGGTCCTTGGGATAGCGTCCACAAGTCGGCATCAGAAGTTCCTCTGTCCATAAACATCGAGTATTGTTTAAGGAACAAAGCAGAGAGCTGTTGGAAACTGCCGATTGAATTACGCTCCTGCCTTGAAAACCACTCGAGCGCGGCTCCCTTGAGATGTTCCATGAAGAGTAAACAATAACCGGCATCTACTTCCCGCTCGGTCAGTTTGGCAGTGTTTTTCGTGAAAGCTCGTCCCATTGCTATCCGGAACACTGTGATGTGCGCTTTCGGATCGGTCGTTCCTTCGTAAAATGGGATTCTCACCTTCCCCGGCTCGGGAATCCTAGCCTCTGTGATTCTCGCCGTGAATGGTGTTCTCTGGGTTTTTTCAAGCATCCGATCGATCTCGGGCGATGCACTCGTCGCGTTATGCACTTGAGACTTCATGGCCCGTATCTCGGCTACTGTCCGAGCCATTGATACTCGCAGCTCTTTGATTTCGAGGGTTTGTGCGTGAGTCATTCCCTTCGATTCGGGGAGTCGCTCCCGCTCCTCTCTCCTCGGCTCATATTTGCGTTCCGCCTGCTCGATCCATTGGAGGTTTTCTTCTTCCTCAATTGGGTTGTCGCCGCAAGCCTGGTCGGTGATTTCGTCAGTCCGGACGCCGTTTAGTGCCGAGGCGAGCTCTTCTTGGCTTATTCGCCGAGCCGAGCCGTTTTGTTGCGAGTTCGTGGTTCCATCGTTCTGTTGGGCGTCCAGGTCGATCGCGTCATTCTCCTCTTCGCCGGCTCGTCGCCTTGAGTTCCGACGGAGTGGGGGCGGCTCGGTCATGTTGACTCGGGTTGCCGCGGGAGTCTGTTTGCCGAGAGGACGAAACATTGGCGGAGCCAAGGGATTTCTTGCGCCGCTTCCCGAGGCCTCTGCAGGTGTTGAGAAATCGAAGCGTCTGCGGATTCCACCTATTGGGTCGGAGATTCCGGCTCTCCAAGTTGGGTGTCGTTGCTCGGCCGCCATCGCGTCGAGCCTCTCTGTAATCGCCTCGTTTCTTTTGTCCTGCTCATCGATCTTCTTCTTCAACGCAGCCATCATGTTTCGCATCTCCTCTTGGGTTTCGGTCGTCGCCGTCGTTTTGCCTGATGCTGGAGTGTCCTTCTCCGCGCCGTTATCGTTGTTGTTGTTGTTATCGTCGAGGGTGTTGCTCGCCATGTTCTTCGGATCTTAAAGTCTCGTCAATTTAGAGTAAGAAAGTTTCGAGTCCCCTGAGACGGCGCCAAATTGTGTGAGCCAAAACTCGCACAACCAAAAATTTGCTAAGGAAAACTTAAGGGATCGGAAACATCTAGGGTTTATCGCAAGAACAGTAAGATCGAAAGAAGGTTTTTATTGCCGTGAAAGTGTTTAGTCTTTATTGCTTAGGGTTGCAAAAAATTACTTAATGAATCGCAGAGATATCCTATTTATACTAATTTCTTGAACCGCTTAGCCGAGAATCTCGGAAGAGATTTTCGGAACATTTCCTTATCGTTTCGTGCGGCCACCGTCATAATACTTCGCTTAGGGCTTTCTTATGGGCTTCTGTCTTTCAAAGCCTTGGTTCGGCCCAAAATCGGCTCGGCTCATTCCCCTTCTTATGCGGCTCGCGGCCCATTTGCTTTCTCGCACAGCTCGGTCCCTTCGCTATCTTGCACAGCTCGGCCCATTTACTTCCTCCTTACGACTCGGCCCGTTCACAGCTCGGTCCATTCCTCTTGTGCGCGGCTCGGTCCACTCGTCTTGGTGAGCGCGGCTCGGCCCACTTGTTTTGTGGGACAGCTCGGCCCATATTTGGTGGACAGCTCGGCCAAATTAGTTTTCTTCTATACTTAGTCATTTTGAGATGGTTTTATCCGTTTGGGGTGAAACCGACTCAAACATGTATTTATGATAAATGCACAATATCTCTATGGCTATTCTCGATTTTCTAATTTTGAATAGTAACTAAGTTATTTGCACGTTTATTTTTTATTTTAAAAGGATGTAACATGAAATTTTCATTTCGAAATCGGCTCAATACGACATTAGCTCAATACGAAATCGAATTTAAATTTCTTAGTACATTTTTCCTTCTTGAAATTCTTGAAAGAGAGAAATAATGTATTTATAAGAAAATTATATTCGAAACTAAATAATTTCACGTTATAGATATAGTTTCAGGTTTTGTATTGTCACTTATTAGCAATGTCAGGTTTTGGCTTATCCTTTCTCTCTCTATGCTATGATGTCAACAAGTCCCAACTAGAAGTTATCCTCTATCAAAATTTGGCTTCTCGAATAGCCACATAGTGAAGAGATGGATAAACGAGAGAGCGTTAAATCAGGGCTGGAAAAGTCAACACACTCACACGTCTAATTACGTGTATTCTTACACCTCACGGTAAATCCGGTACTTCTAGAGAGATGCATGATGGCATCAAAACCCTAAACAATGATCAATATTTGAGGAAAGAAATGCTTCCACAGATAATGAATGAGCTAGGTAAACTTCGTAGTGTGGTGCGAGTAAAAACCCCTTACGACACGAGATTCTCACAACAAATGTGAAGTTGGAGATTATAATATATATATATATATATATATATTTATATAGATATATTGTAGTATGAAAACAAGCAAGCTGGAGATGAGGACGTACTCAGGCAATTAATTAAGGACAAGCAATTATTAAGAGAGAAGTGGCCAAATTATGTAATTAGTTCATTACTTATGTATTTGCAATTTAAATCTTTGTAATTAGGTCATATATTGTGTATATGAAGCAAAGCTTTAACATTTAATGAATAATAAAAGTCTCTACACCAAACTAGATTTCTTGACATGGTATCAGAGAAATGTTAATCTAGTTTCTGTTGAAATTTCTTTCAAGCACTAAGAAGGCCTCTGTTGAAATTTCTTTCAAGCACTAAGAAAGCCATGTTACTAGTTCTGATCAGTTTCAACTTTCAATGATGATAATTGATAACTCTCACTCATTCAGACTCTTACATATTCTAGACTTGTACAGCTGTTTGTTTTATTTTTCTTTTAGTTGGCGTGGCTAATGGGGGAGGGCGTAATTTTAACCTAAGAGAGTATTTTCTCCTTTTAGTCACATTTTTTGACGATTCCTTTCTACATTAGAACCCCCCCCCCCCCCCACCACACACACACACATTTTTTTTTACGAAAATGAAGTTTAAAAGAGTTGCGCATTCATTTGACTAAATCATTTTGATCTTAATCAAGTCAAGAAATAGTACTACATTTTATGAGCACATATTAATTGTTTTGGATGTTACATATTTTCCATTAATTAATGTCTGTTACATGCATGCACATCCTGCTTGAGCTAGACCAAGACCAAGATCGTGTTCAGGCATGTATTAGCCCAACTCAAATACTGAAATACTATAATGACTTCTTTTGTCTGCTTCATCATACAAATATACAATACATAACTGCTTGAACCATTTATCTTTAATCATCCCAAAATCAAATCAATCCTCGGTTACCAAAACACTTGGGTTTGTGTTTATCGTTTTATGTTTTGACTTTGTACAGACTTGGCTTTGGGATATATAGCAAGTAGTTTCTTTCTAATAATTCGTACAGACATGGCTCATCATTCATCTGATGCAGTGCCTAAAACATCTTAATGCCTCAACACGATACCAACAAATAGACATGTTGCATTTTTTTGTTTGATATACCAAAAAAGAAGATGAAAGGTACGGTTTTATTAGATAATGATAGGTATTCTTAATATAAAGAAAATAGCTTTGACACTAAACAAGATTCAATGAAAGCTAGGAACAAACATTTGGAAACAATCCTGTGAATATCCCGACATTGTCATAATACTACCATCGTCTAGCTTGAACACATTAATCTCATATTCGTCCTCATCAGAGAAGTAAATAGAGTTGGGCAGACATCCGTTGAATTCATGAGTCAAAACCGAGAAACAAGTATCAGTAGCCATCACAAGCGCATTGTCTCCCAAAGACTTAACTTGTACCCATTTCTCCAATTCTTCATCCACCTTGTAAACCTTGAAACCAACCATTTTGGTATAATAGTTTCTTTCTGATAACTCGCATCTCGTGATCCCAACATCATCGTGTATCACTTTGTAACTTGGAGGATAACTTTGACGATTCACTGACCTAACTTTTATTTTCTGAAGATTATCTTCAAGGAGACGATCCACAATGTAAAACTCTTCACAACACTCCACTAAGGTTAAGTCTCTACAAGAGTCATCAGTGATGTTTTCATCGAGTGAAGGTCCATACCTGTAGATGTCGAGAGATGAACTAATCCACCAAACAATCCCATTGGAATCCAAGGCGTAGGCTAGCCCTCTCTGGACTATAATGTCGCAGAATAGAGCCACTTGGTCTTTGATTCTGGTCCAAATTACTCCGTTCCAGTACCTGATCTTCCCGTCGCAGCAGACTCCGAGAAGTGGATGTTTTCCCGTAAGGACCAATCTTTTGAACCCAAAATCTTGGTTCTTCTTTAGCCAGTTTTGAACAGTATAGGCTGGTTGAATCTCAAGAACTTTGAATTTGGTAAGGTCGATATTTTGGCACCAATGATGCAAGGGGAGGCGCGAAAGAGGGTTGAGAAGACAACGAAATGTCCCATAAGTGAGCCCCGCTGTGTCGCATTTGATCAGCCACCCCTGGTTTGAGGAGGAGACTCGGAAAAAGGAGGTGTGTGATAGAAACTCCCTGTAGTTGAGGCCGTAGAGTTGTTTCTTTCTAGGTGGTTTAATAACCACAGTTGCGATGAGGGGGTTGAGGTGGATGAGAGGGCGGCTTGGGAAAGGATTGTCATCAGCAACAGAAATGGAGGAGCGCCAAGATGTACAGGTGCTACGGAAGTGGAGGAGCTCGAGGACAGAATACAAACGGATGGCAATCATCAAGAGTAGCTCCTTCGGTAACATAGACCAATCAATCATTTTGTTCATTCTCTTTGTTTCAAAATTTTTCAAAAGCAAAACGCTATCATTCTTTATAGCTATGAGTCGATGTATATGTTTGTCTTGACTTTTTAGAGCAACTAAATAAAACGTTGAATAAAGCAGCAATTGATAAGATAATATCTATTCAAAAGAAGATTTATGGGAAGAATTATAGGTTATTTATTTAAAATCAATGCAGAGTATTTGACACTTAATAAAATCAATGAAATGACATCGATTTTTTTCTATATATTAAAAATATTTTAGATTTTATGTAAACTTTGACCAAATAAAAAGATTTTATGTAAACACTCTCTCAGTCTCTCACTACACTACTTTTGAAAAAAAAAATTATGATTTTGCCATATTGGATATACTATTTTAATAAAATATTTTAATCAATGAAATGACATCGATTTTTTTCCATATAGTAAAAGTATTTTAGATTTTATGTAAACTTTGACCAAATAAAAAGATTTTATATAAACACTTTCTCAGTTTCTCACTACACTAATTTTGAAAAAAAAGTTATTATTTTTCCATATTGGTTATACTATTTTAACAAAATATTTAAATCAATGAAATGACATCGATTTATTTCCATATAATATAAGTATTTTAGATTTTATGTAAACTTTGACCAAATAAAAAGATTTTATGTAAACACTCTTTCAGTCTCTCACTACATTACTTTTGAAAAAAAAAAGTTCTGATTTTGCCATATTAGCTATACTATTTAAAAAAAATATTTTAGAGGAATTATGTGCTATTAATGTGAACAGAAGACTACAAAATTAAATACTACATAATAATGATATTATTTTAATTAATTGAATACAATTCTATTCTTTTCTCTTCTAATTCTTTTTTATTATTATTTTTTCCTTTCCGGCCATATAAATTTTTGTAGAAATGTTGTTGGGATTAAAAAGAAAAATCATATCCTTATGTACCCAAAAAACCGTCTATAAAAAATCTTTTTTAAAATTTTTTTAAAAAATAATAATATTATGTACTAGTATGGTAGTCCCAAAACTCATAATATTTTTAGGATTATCCATAGATTTTGTAATATTGTTTATCCACTACCAAATTACCATTATTTTGTTGGTTAATTTTATTATATATTTTTGTATGTAATATAATTATTGTTATTAATTAAGTTTGTGATAAATTTTATCCTTAACTTTGCTTCTTTTGTTTTACAAATAATGTTATTTTCACATATTTTACATAAATTACAAAAATTAGTAAAAGTTTTACATTATTCTTTATTAGTACACACAATAATTTTCTCTTTCTAATCAATATACTAAAACAAAACTTATAATGATACAATTTGTGAAGTGTCAAATTCATTGATTTAGGTTGCTAAGAGCTCGAATTTGTTTTCTTCTGTGTGGATTCCTGTTCACTTGAAGTATTATGTAACATAATTAATATATGATTCTGCAATTTCATCGCAAATTTTGATTTTTCTATTTCCAGTTGAAGTTGTAAGTCTACATAAACACAATATCATAGTTTTGTATAAAATATATCAAGTTTTTTTTGTTATACGAATAATTTTGCATCCATATAAGATCCAAACACAAATATTAAAATGGAATTTTCTAAACTAACAGTATTGCATCCAAAAGCAGAAGCAAATACTGGTTTCTGGATCCAGTATTGTAATAGAATAAGAACCAAGAACAATTTAGTTTTTGATAATTGTTGACTTACGAAGATATACATTACTAGAAAATGTAAGTAAATCATTTTTGTATTCGGGAAAATTACTTTCACTGGACACATTCGGTGAATTTTGTTTGACACACTCGGTGATTCAAATGCATAATATCATCACCAAATGATACCAAAACATGTGACCGCAAATTGTTATATCTTTGATAAAATATGTCTATATATAATCAATTAAACTAGTGTTTACAGCTGTAGAAAGAAAAAAAACTAGTGTTTACAAAATTTTATATATGTATAATATGTATCCCTCCGGCAAACCTTTAAAATAAAATGCCTATGAAGATCCTTCTAGACTTTTATCAAACCTTCCAATTCATACCTCGAGGTCCTCAACCTTCTTATGAAGATCCTCCTGAGAGCAAGAATCTCCAAAAATCGCTGAATCTACACTTTTTAACTCATTCTTGACGATCAAATTGTGATCATGAAACTTCTTGTTCATGATGAGGACCAAAGCCACAATGTAGACACTTTTTAATGATTTTCTTATGACAGTCTATGTGACAGTAATGATTTCTTTAACTATAAGTTTTTTTTTTTAAAAAAACAATATGTATATATTATATTTTTTGATAGATTTATGGTGTTAACTTACAAAATTTTAACAAATGACATTATTTATTTTCGAATTTAAATTTCTTAGAAGTACATTCTTCCTTCTCGAACTCTTGAAAGAGAGAAAAAATGTATTTATAAAATAATTTCATTCAAAACTAAATAATGTCTTGTTACAAATATAATTACATGAAATTTTGTAATGTCACTTTGCAATGTAAGGTTTTGGCTCATTCTTTTCTCTTTCCATGCTATGATGTCATCAAGTCCCAATTAATAGTTATCCTCCATCAAAATTTTGCTTCTCGAATAGCCCACATAGTGCAGAGATGGGTAAACGAGAGGAATAGATCAAAGTTAGGAAACTCAACACACTCACACGTCTAGTTACGTGTATTCTTACACCTCACGGTAAATCAGGTACTTCTAGAGAGATGCATGATGACATTAAAACCCTAAAAAAAGATCAGTCTTTAAGGAAATCATAGAAATGCTTCAACATATAATGAATGAGCTAGGTAAACTTCGTAGTGTGGTCCGAGTAAAACCCCTTACGACATGAGATTCTCAGAACAAAATGTGAAGTTGATAAATATATATATATATATATATATATATATATATTGTAGTATGAAAACAAGCAAGCTGGAGATGAGGACGTACTCAAGCAAGGACAATCAACTGTTAAGAGAGATGTGGCCTAAATATGTAAATAGTTAACTACTTATGTAACTTGCATTTTACAGCTTTGTAATTAGGTTATCTATTGTGTATATAAAACAAAACTTAACAGAATGAATAAAAAGATCTTTACACCAAACTAGGTTTCTTGACAAGGTATCAGAGAAATGTTAACCTAGTATTTCTGTCAAAAATTATTTCAAGATACTAGGAAGGCACGTTACTAGTACTAGTATTGATCAGTTTCAACTTTCAATGATAACTCTCACTCATTCACTCTCGTATATTTTCTAGATTCGTAGAGGTTTGTTTTATTTTTCTTTTAGTTGGCGTGGCTAATGGGGAGGAACTAGTGTTGACGTAATAAAGTGTTTTCTCCTTTTCGGTCTTACTCTTTGATGATTCCTTCTACCCCCAGAAGACCGAGTTCATCTGAATCAAAGATCTGTGCCAGGAGATATCGCTGTGTCCGTGTCAGATGTCCAGATCTGCTTTGTTGCTAAGGTGAGGATTAGATCTAGGGTCTTCCTTTTATTCATTTGTCTTCTTCTAGTGTGTGAGGTCTAGATCTGATGAGCATAGGATGTTTCCTTGTGCATCTAGCTATATCCATGTGTAAATCTAATGAAATGATATAGGATCTCATTAGAGGAAGAACCAGCATATTTGATTGTTCACCCTGATGTGTGGTTAGTGATTGGTAGTGTAGCTAGATCAGGTGTTTATCTCGGTGGTGATGTGCCGAGGTATGGACTTGTTTGCTGGGCTATTGCTGTCTGTGTGACCAAAGCGGTAGTTCAACGGTGGGGGAAGGTACGCCGATCCTTCCGGAGTCTATATGACTGGAAGTCTGTCTGTGTGACCTGGCAATGTTGAACCTGTCTGTGTGACCTGGTGCATGTCTTTGTGACCTGGCGATGTAGAGCCTATCTATGTGACCTGGCAGTGCCTGTCTGTGTGACTTGGCAAGGTTGGAGACATCACAATTGCTTGCTAGTTGTTTGTGCATCGCTAGGATGCTTGTGTGTTGCTTGTTGAATTTATTCTTGACATGGTGGTTGGAAATAAATGAGTGAGAAGGGAGGCTGGTCTGGTTCTCACTGAGTAATCCCCATTACTCACCTCTCCTCTTCCCTTGTCTTATCAGGTGTAGGTGAAAGATCAGTTTAAGTCTATGTTGTTGATTGTTACCTGGGCGTTTTCGATCCTGGCAGACCTGAGGCTCACTATCTGGACCAAATCAGGCGTCTGACCGAATGCGGTTAGATGGCCAACCTAACATGCCTGATTTCTCCGGTTTTCTTAGGAAGTCTGGGATAGGGATGTTACAAAAACACTCGGGTTTGTGTTTATCGGTTTATGTTTTGACTTCGTACAGACATGGCTTTTGAATGTATAGCAAGTAGTTTCTTTCTAATAATTCGTATAGACATATATGGTTCACCATTCATTCTTATTGCTACGAATCGATGTGTTTGTTGGTCTTAACCTTTTAAAGAAACCAAATAAAACGTTGAATAGAGCAGTAATTCATAAAGTAATATCTATTCAAAAGGAGATTTATGGGAAGAATCTTATTATAAGGTATTTTTTAAAAATCAATGCAGAACATTTGACACTTGGTCAATCAATGAAATGACATCGATTTTTTTCTATATAATAAAAGTATTTTAGATTACTCTCAACAAGGAAAAAAATATGAGTAATTCTGAGAAAACAAAAATGGTTACCGAGGAAGAGATCAATGAAAGATCTGACGACAATGGCTATCTTTGGTGCGTTGAAGAAGGAGAAATTGGTGAAATCTTATGCGCCCTTCCCGCACTGAATGTTAGTGAACGCCTTAATATGGAGGAAGCAGGCCTCCACAATGTCGTCGTTGCGGCTGAGTTGGTTATGGCAGCCGCCGAAGAAGTCGATGTTTCAAAGGGAGAGATGGAGCAAAAGGTCAATGTTTCAAAGGGAGAGATGGAGCAAACGGTCGATGCGATTGGCGAAAATACCAAAAACACAAAGTTAGGTCGTCGTTCTAGGATGGATGAATTGGATGATGCGGCTGGAGCCTCCGGTTCTACAGCCATCGGTTCGGCAGGAGAAGAGGAGCCAGCTAAGAAAGCAAAGAAGAAAGGAACTTCTCAATTGCATGCACCGCCTCAAGGTCCTCCTAAATGTAACATATGTCGGAGAGACTTTATTTCTTGGAAGGCTGTCTTTGGCCACTTAAGGGCGGCGCACAAGGACCATGGTTATCAAAGCTTCCTTCCTTCGCCCACATTCAATTCGACTGAGGAAGGATTTGGTGTGGTCGTTTCTGCTTCTGTTTCTTCAGCTGGTGGGGCGCTTGGTTTTGGCATCGGGGGATTAGGGATATTTGAATGTTGATCCGATGGAAAAAGAAGAGGAAGCTGGATCGGAATCTATTCCAAAGTTTGATCTCAACATGTCACCACCAGAAGATGAAGATGAAGAGGATGAAAAGGAGGATTAAGCCAAAACCCTAAACTAATGTTTACCAAATTTTATATTAGTATAATATTATGTATCCCTCCGACAAATCCTCTAAAATAAAATGCCTATGAAGATTACAATATTACATATACATCTGTTGAGATATTATGTTGAGAAGCGAGGCCCGTGTTCTGATCAACCCTCGAAACAATCCTTCTAGACTTTGATCAAACCTTCCAATCAATACCTCGAGGTCCTCAAGCTTTTTATGAAGATCTTCTTGAGAGCAAGAATCTCCAGAAATCGCTGAATCTACACTCTTTAACTCATTCTTGACGATCAAATCGTGATCATGAAACTTCTTGTTCATGATGAGTACCATAGCCAACTTGCTCCTTATGTCCTTCCCGTTTTGTCGTCCCGACAAGAACTCCAAGAAAGACTTCAAGACCGAAACGGTCATCGAAACGACACGTCTCATAGTGTGAATCACGGCTAAAAATTGAACATCCCCGTCTTGATCATGATCACGTTCTCTCATCGCTAACCCTACATTAATGTTCTTCAATGATCCAAGAAGCTTCTTCACTTCTTTCCTCATGTTCTTCCTAAAACCCACATAGCCCGAGTAATCGACATCTTTCCTTCTCCTAGCACGAGACTGAAGAACAAGTACGTGCTCATGAGTCTCAACAATAAGATCTCTCGAGACGTTGCATATATCCATTAGCCTCAATGAACCATCAAGCATTTCCTCCATAAACTCTCTCTGAATCTTCTTTCTCTCGTCATTAAACGATAACACACTTTGTGTCGGACCCATCTTCAATAAATCCTCCGTACAGTCGTACAGATCCTCCAGCCCTTTTAAACCGGAGTAAACCGATTCAGATGATGACGCCATCGTCTTCGTGTTCATAGTGATAAGAAGCTTGTCGAGCGATTCCTCGATCGCTGCTGTGCTAGGATGAGATCTTGAAGGTAAACTTATCGATCTTACATGATTCTTGATGATCATCATCGCCATATTTGTTTTGTTTTGTTTTTATTTTTTTCCGTTGAGCTTTGTTTATCTATACTGATTTTATTCAACGAGCTCTATTTATATCATAGGGAGTTTTTACCGTATATGTGTTACGTCGACCAACGAAACTTCAACAATAATAAGAATCTTTTTCTTATTTTAATTATGGCCAAAAGTGTGATGAGTTGTCATGTTTGTTTACATAAATTCTATTGTCAAATTATGCGTAATAGTTTGGCCACAGAGTTGATGAGTCATCGTTTGTTGTGCTTCCGGTTATGCCACATAATTAATGGTCTAGTCTATTTTTGTGAATTAAAATAATATCAACGGTCTATAAATTGTCTGGGTAGGTGAAGAAATGCAGATCTTCCTCAACCATATTATACCCCGTCATTCTCCCTAGGTTTACCTGTTACGTTCTCCTTTAGTTTAACATAAAGTAATATAAAGTATTTTAATTTGATTGGCCTCAAACATCTTAGGTTATGACACGTGGAATAGACTCGAAAGTCGAATCTTTTGCTGATGATTTCTTTGTATTGAAAGAAAAAAATAAACACCGCAACGTGTATATATATTTTTGTTTCATGTGCTGGGTTTGGCACAACTCACAAGCTCCAGCAAAGTATCGATATAAATAATTAGAAATCACCTTACTGTATCCGTAGAAATGATGATGATGTTTCATTTTCTTGCTTTGTGATCTGATTTTTGGCCAAACCGGTTCATGGTCTTGAGCAATTTCTGTAGATAATTTTCATTTATTGTTAATAAATTTTACATTTCAACAAAATAAAAAGATGATGTTATCAGTGTGATTAATAATAGTCATAGATCAAAGGAATAGAAAAATGGTACTACAATTACATAATGATATACTAATGCAGAATGGTTTGCAAATGTAAATTTATGGAAGACGAAAATATCAAAAAAATAGGTGGAAAAATGTCAAAAATTTTGTTTTCGTCTTTTGTAATATTTTTGTAGTTAACAAAAGGGGAGGTGCACCTGCACCTAATGATTTTTGATTCATATATAACTACAATAAAATCTCATAAACTAATATTCGATAAACTAAGATAATAAAGTTTCGTTGTTTCGAGTTTGACTAATGTAAAAATTAGCAAAATTTAAGAAAATTAGTTCTTTTCAAAGGTTTTCAAATAACCGATGTTCAATTTTTTCCTAGTTTCTACAAATTATCCGATCAGAAGTTTTTGTTTTTAAAGAACTAATTTTTCTTTGTTTATGGTCATGTCTTAGGTCAATTGTTATAAAAGATTTAATTATATTGTCATTTATGAGCGTCACTTTTGTAGGTCGCACAATCTTATACGCAGTCACCAATTATTGCATGCATCCAAAGAAATTCCAATTATGTTACGTAACATTTTCCAAGGCATAGATCTCCAAAAACTTTTTTTCCTAAGAGTATTTCTTGTGGTGCGATGTTAGGTGCGTTCCCTAAAGTAGTTTCGAAACTAAAAGTGCTGAACAACTAAACAATTCTAATTTGGAAGAGAATAGAAATTCATTTACGAATCAATGATTGCTTTGAAGTTTTATTTTTGTCAACATTGCCTTTGAGCTAGGTTAAACATTTGTTTATTTTCTTGTTGGTGATCAATTTGTTATCTCATACTTCCATAACTACTTTTCATCAGTAGAACTAAGTGCATTTTTAGTTTAAGTAACATATTTGGTAATCTTGTATTCTGAGATAAGCTGCCGACGGCTGAAAATATACAAAGACCAAAAATTACTGAAGTCATGCAGATTAAATTATTGTAGAATTATTAAATCACATGATTTGTGCAGGCCTTTGAGGGTAGAGTTGGAATCATCTTTGGAGGAGGTGAAGTTACAAATTCAGCAGAGTCATATATGATGGATAAGTATTTTTTTGGCATTAACCAAAGACAGGTGTGTTAATATTTATCAAATAGAGGAATAGTCTCCCATTTTATTTTTCTTCTCCAACCATTTTCTCCACAGTAATTAAAATAATATGTAGTTGGGAAGAGTGGACGTTGGTAATGGCATAACATAAAGGACAACCCTAACATAAACAACTAAATAAAGAGTTTCTAAAATAAAATTAAAGCTCGTTTATTTTTTTATTTTTGGGTCTAAACGTACCAAACAAGAGTTTGTGTTGTTGCTACTTGCTAGAATGTAAATATCATTGAAAAATGAAGGGTTTAGGGTCTAAACGTACCTTAACAAGGGTTTTGTTAAGGTGTGCTTATCACGTGGGTCAGTATCGTACACAAATGCAATATTACAATCACCAAGTTTAACTAACAAGAAAATTAATATTACCAACATAATCGACCGATACGCACACTATGCTAAAGCTTTTGCATAACAATGGAGATTAAATTGTAGAATATAGTAATCTAGGAAGTTATCAATTGTCTGCTCGTTTGCGTTCAGTATGACAGTATCCCCATGCTAATCTTTCTAATGCATGAGAATTCCAAAAAAATAAAAAATAGCAGGACTTCGAGGCTTTTAATTAAGAAATTAATTGGTATAATAGTAAAGTGAATTGATATCAAATTGGCTAAAAAAATGGTATGCTTTTAATAATAAAATATCTATTAATTTATTTTGTCAATTAAAGAATCATCAAACTAATTCTGTCAAATTTGGCTTTAGTTGCAACAGATTAACTAACTTTTGATTAATATATTTTAAAACTTATATAAAACTACAATAAAAAGTTTGACTCCAAATCTCAAAACCAAAAATTTTGTGCTATATCTTGAGTTTTCTAGTGCCGAAACAAGTCAACTACCCCGGCAACAAAACAGTGGCATACTTTGTGATTTTGCACCGTCGAAAATCTTGATTTATCTTTTTGGACAATCTTGATTAACCTATTCGACTTCAAGTTGTAAGTCTACATAATTTAATTACAAAATATATATCAAGATTTTTTTACACACATATTAAACTTGCTAGAAAGATTATGACTCGTAGAGGCTTGTAGATCAGCCTTATGGTTCCATTCATTTGTTTGGCTTAGAAAGAGTATGTGCTAGAATAAGAACAGAGAATACATTCCTTTTGGATTTTATAATCTGATATAAGAAAGAAAAAAACCTCTGGAAGCTTGTTAATCAGCCTAATCTTTTTAGCATAAAAAAAAGACCTTTGGATGGGCATGTGTGTAAAATTATATAAAAACCTTATAATAGTTTCTGGAATATACGCAGTCACCAATTATTGCATGCATGATGCATCCAAAGAAATTTCAATGTTACGTACATTGTATAAGGTATAGATATCCAAAACATTATTTCCTAAGAGTATTTCTTGCATGTAGCACCATGTCAGGTATGTTCCCTAAAGTAAACAATTTGGAATAGAAGAGAAAATGATTTACAAATCAATAGCCTCAAAATTTTATTTTTGTTAATGATATCTTTGAAGTTAAATATTAATTTCTTGTTGAAGATCAGTTTGTTACCTATGAAAAAACATATTTCCAAAACTATTTTTCATCAGTAAAACAATTCTCACGGTAATATAGCAAAAGTACATAAACTTTGTGCATTATCTAATTAAAGTAACTTATTTGGTACTCTTATACGAGTATATGCTGCCAGAAGCTGGATATACAAAGACCAAAAATTACAGAAGCTAAGTCATGCAGATTAAATTATTTTAGAATTATTTAATCATATAATGTGGGCGGCTTTGGAGATAAAGTTGCATTAAACAGAGTAATATATGATGGATAAGTGTTTTATAACATTAAGGAGGTTGAACCAAAGACAGAGATGTTTAAACATTAATCAAAAAGAAGAATAATCTCCCGCTTTGTTTTTCTTCTCCTACCATTTTCTCCACATTTAATAGAATAATATGTAGGTGGGACGAGTGGACGTTGGCAATGGCATTACATAAGTTTATTTTGGGGTCTAAACGTACCCGGACTAGCCAATTAGTTATCTTAGGACCGAACCAACAAAGGGTTTTGTTGAGCTGTGCTTATCACGAGGATCATTATCGTACACAAATGGAAGATTTTTATAATTACCAGTTTTAATTAAAGAAAAAAATTACCAATATGATATCATATCGACCGATACGCACATTATGCTAAATCTTGTACATAGGAATGAAGATTAAATTGCATCATAGAAATTTAGGAAGTTATCAACTTTCTGCTCGTTTACTTTCAGTATCCTTATGTTAATCCTTCTAATGCATGAGATAATAGGAGGAATTCTAGGATTTTAATTTTAAAACAAGTGTTAATAGTAATGAAGAGACTCATAGTTTTTCTCCATACTCCTGTTTTAAAATCTTAATATATTTTCTTGAGATAATTACACTTTTACCTTGTTCATCTCGAATCATTATTTTTTGTTGGAATTGGTAATAATTTGGATTTACTATAAACTATGGCACTAATATCGTGAAGTTTCGCGAACTTTCAATTCAAACATATTACAAATGAACCCATGTTCTTTATATTAGTATTGGTCAGTTTACATTTTTGATGTGGGATAACACATGATGTTAAATTTCTTCAAAATGATGAGGATATTTGCACCAATGTGTTTAATAAGTTATCTCTCTGTGGTCACGAATCCGGCAACGTCAAGCTCCTTTATTTTTCTTAATATTGTCTCCAGTGTTGTCTCTTCTTCATCGCTGGCATAAAAAGATCTGTTTGAAGTATTAGAACAAAACATGACAGCTCGTAGAGATATACTAAGAGATATAATGAATGATCTAGTCCAATAAAAAGCTATAGGCTATTGTAGATTCAAAAATCTAGGCGTTTACAATAAGAGTAAAAGAATCTTGTATTCGTGGACCTCGTGCTACGTATATTTCTTCCTCATGTGTCTATTTTTCCGTAGCGTTCTATTGTTTAGTAGGGAAGACAAGGAAACAAATGTTGCAGCAATATACAATATATAATGAAACATGACAGAAGAGGGAGACAATTACAAATGAAAGATTCACCAAATGATTGAAAGTTTAGTCAGAAAAACAAAAAAAAAAAGATTAATATCAGAATGTTTGACCACTTGTCTTCTTTTTTGTAAATCTTCTTACCAACGTTGTCCTCTGTTTTATTGTCTCCTCAATGATTTGGTTTGTAACTCAACTGAAAAATTGACAATACTCTGCACTTGGCTGCTCAGTGTTAAAACAGAACATAAAAGAAACTATTAGACAATCTTTATTCAGATAATATGTTTGATTTACCGCTAACCGGTGGGAGTAAATTGTCAAAGCAAATATAATTTGCTTGATCTCTCAATGCAAGATCTAAAACCAATCATGGCATTCAAAATTGCTTACAAGAAACAGTTTACATGACACTAAAGGCAAGAATCACACACTTTAGAGATGTCAGCTCACAAAAATATTACCAACATATATAGTTAAAAAAACTATTGTCACTAATGATTGATGAATGCTTGTTCCCTTAAGGATTAACTGTTCAGCATCAAATTCATTCCTTTGAGCAATTCCAAAGAACACAGGATATTCTTCGATAAAGCTCAAGCTAGCAAATCTCACTTAGACAGTCTTCCGATTTTTTTTCAGCCATTTCAAGGTGGTTTCAAGTGTACAATAAGCAGAAGCATCTCTCAAACTCTTGCTATTAACTGCATAATCAAAAACTTCATAAGCCTCCACGACCTTTCCACTTCTAACCAGAGCCTTCACAAGCGTGGCATAAGCAGCAGTCTCAAGCTTTACACCGCCCGATTTCATCAACACATATAACTCAATCCCTCACTCGAACAGATCTCTTCTGATACTCTGGCTGATTATCTCGTACCGGTGTGCCTAACTGTCAAAGCAAATATTATTTGCTTGATCTGTCAAGCAACAATCGCAGGCAAGATCAATAACCAATCATGGCATTCACAATAGCTCGTCAGAACAGAGTACATGACACTAAAGGCAAAAAACAACAGCAAGATATTTCGCTGAATGTAATCAATACTTCTAGTAAAGGAACCCTTTTAGATATCTCATGTCACATGAATATTACCAACAAAGTTAAACCACCTAGTGTCAAAAAATATCTGCTGGTTTAATAAGGATTAACTGTTCATTTTCACATAACGTATAAAATTCGTCCCTTTGGAGCAATGCAAACTTCAAAAAGAGACAGGACTTGCGAAAAGATGAAACTCGACAAGTTTCAACCTAGAGAATACCGCTTAGACAGCCAATCCTTGTTCCTTCGCCTTTTTCAGCCATTTCAAGGTAGCTTCAAGTGTAGTGTATGCAGAGACATCTGTCAAACTCTTGCTATCAACTGCATAATCAAAAACTTCATAAGCCTCGGCGACCTTTCCACTTCTTACCAGACCCCTCACGAGCGTGGCATAAGCAGAACTCTCAAGCTTTACGCCGTTAGATTTCATCAACCCATATAACTCAATCCCTTTGTCCATCAACCTTGCCTTGCACAATCCATAAAGCAAAGTATTATAAGTGCAAGCATTTGGAGCACACCCTCTTGCTTCCATCTCTTCCAACAAACTCAACGCACCTAAACTTGCGCCTTTTCTACACATTCCATTCATCAGCGACGTGTAAGTGACAGCATCTGGCTCATAACCCGCTTCAACCATGGTTTGCAAATACTTCCTAGCTTCCTCAACTCTCCCGGATTTCGACAATCCAAATATCAAAGTGTTGTAAGTAATACGATCCGGCTCAACACCTTCTTCCTTCATCTTCTTATAGACAATAATCGCCTCACTCCCTTTGCTCAGTGTGCAAAAACCTTTCATAATGGTGTTATAGAGGAAGCAATCAGGCTTAAACCCAGCATCACCTAAGGCACTAACTAATCTCATTGCTTCCCTCAGATTCTTGGAATTGCAGACATTATCAATCAAGATAGTGTAGCTAACAAGGTCTGGCTTCACCTCAAAAGTCTCCTTCATCTCATCGATGAATTCATAAACAACATCCAAAGATCCGCACTTGCACAAATGCTTAAGAAGAAAGTTATAAGTATATGTATCTGGAGGCGAGTGATTCTTCGAGAGCTCCTTGATCAAATCCATGGCTTCACTGATCCGACCCGATTCGCAAAGAGACCGGACAGCGATATCGGTTGTTACCTGATTAGGCGCAACACCATTGTTCACCATGAGGTTTAGAACTAGATGAACATTCGAAAGAGACGAATCAGGAGCTCTGCAAGCGTGTGAGAGCAATATGTGGAAAGTAGAATGCTCCGGCGAGAAACCAGGCTGAGATTTCAGGATGTGTAGAAACAATTTCACCGTATCGTCGACGGCGGCGATCGAGGCGTAGGATTGGAGAACGGAGTTGTGAAACTTGAGATCGAGAGGGATTCTCGAAGTGGCGGCGATCGAATTAAAGAGGGATTTGGCATCAGATAGATCGGGGGTCTTGAAAGGATTCCTCAAGGGCTCGCGAGAGACTTGATCAGTATGATGGGAGATTTTGACGGATTCTCTCCTGGCGATTCGGTTGCGAGGATCCCGCGGCGGCGCTAAAGGACATGAAGTGGGTTTCTTTACCAAATGCGTTGACGTCATAGAGCGAAACGACGACGGAATTTTCCCCATTTTTCTCTTCGCCGATCGCCGGAATGTTTTAGGGTTTTAGCAGAGGTTTTGCGTCTCGGTATCAAATGGGAGAGAGAAGGCGAGAATCGTAGTCGCGCTCACACAGTCACACTCGCGCTCCACTGCGTATGTGAGCATTGGGCCTATTGGGCCTTTGAACAATATATCGACTCAAAAATATCTTTTTATATATAAAACTTGGCCAATTTTCTCCAGCTGCTTATTATGAGAGAGCGCCACTTGTCCATTAAAAATTTTAATGAAATAAATAATTAATTACATTTAAAGAAAAATATTTATTAATCACATTTAAAAAAAACCATTAAAACACATTAATAAATATTAATATGTATATGAACAAAATTATTTAAATAAATAAAATTTAAATTTATTTTAAATATATTAAAACTTAAAAATATTATATAATACAGGATTTTTTAAATCCACCATTCTATTTCCTTTTTCCAAGTGATTTAAACTACATTTTCAAACTAAAAATATAATTAAATTTTAATGTAAAGGAAAAAAAATAATGAGACTGAATAAGTTAAAAAGTTTTAAATAATCCTATATAAAACTCTTACTAATAAAATTATAAGACTAAATATTCAATAAACTATTATAAAAATAAAAATTATTAAAAAGTAATAGTAAAAACAAAGAGTAGATACATCAAAATGTCATACAAAGTTTTTTAAAAAAAAAAATAAAAATGGAATCAATAAAATATATATAACCAAAAAAACTCAAAATGATATTTTTCTATGAGATATGACGTTTTTATACATGAATTTAAATAGTAGATCTTTAGTCTCTTATTACCGTAGGAGAAAAATCGGATTATTTGGCACAACTCATGTCAAAGAGATTACAAATAGTGTATCATCTAGAAGAAATCGAAGAAAATATAAATATTTTAAACGAAAAATGATGGTAAAAATATAATTCAAAACAAATTCTAAAAATGTATTTATTTAAAATATAAATTAAAACAAGATCCGCGCATTCTCTCCTAGTTATCTACAATATCAAACCCGTTTCAAAACAAAATGGCTGCAACTGGACATCGATCATAAATACATTAATTTTTTTTAAATTTATTATAATCACATTTAATCCATCATAAAAGTAGTATGTGACCATCCTTAACCGATTCGGTATGTTCAATTTAAAAAAAAATAACTCCTTTTATTTAAGTTCATTTTGCAAAATTATCTGTCCGAACATTTAGACTTCTCTGAATATAAGATAAAGTGAACTCTAAGAAGTTCTCGCGAAGGATACGGAAGGATTCCAACTCTGTCATAAAAGACGGCCAATCTTTTGGAGATTCAGACATGCTCACAAGGTCCAAACAAATCGGTCTGAAAATGCACCGAAATCATCTGTCATTCTCTCATGCATGACATAGCCCATAGGAAGCAATCTATCTTGGCGTGAAGAGCCGAGAGGCTTCTCGGGAAGAAACCCGGAAGAGACGGAAAGTCCGATAACGCCCAGTGTTGTAAGGCCGGGGGACATAAAAACAGTAGATGGTTTATAGACTCCTTAGAATCCCCACAGCAAGGACAACATTTGTTAGAGCCCATATGTCGGTAGGTGAGGTTCTGGCATGCAGCAACGCACCTTGATAAAGATTGCCACATAAAGTGTTTCATCTTTTCAGGTGTACGGACTTTCCAAAACATGTCTTTGAAGGACCGTGATACTCGGTTCCCTCATCGCTCTAGCTTTCCATTGTAGCTTTGTCCTTCTAATCAGATCATATCCCGATTTAACCGAATAAAATCCCGATTTGGAATGATTCTATGCATATCCATCTAAGGTACGAGTACGACTGGGTCTCAACACCAAGGATGAGATAGACATCCTCAGGTTGGAAAAGTTCTCTAAGTAGGTGAGCGTCCCATTGTTTCTTATCTTGCCGGATGAAAGAGTATACCAATAATCCCGGATCCCGGAATCTGATCTGCGGGGCGGCTCTTGGTGGCCGAGCATTAAGATCCAGAATCCACGGTTCGCTCCAAACTCTCGTGTTAAGAGCCAATCCAATCGTCTTCCTCAAGTCCATCTTTAGGAGTGGTTTTGCGGCCATAATACTTCGCCACCCATAAAATGATGAATAGACGTTCCGGTCCTCTAAAGGATCAGATTGTCGATAATATCTGCATCTCTGAATCCGAGCCAAGAGAGATGAGGGGTACTGAATAAGTCTGCATAGCTGCTTAGCTAGAAGGGCTAAGCTAAAGTCTTTTAAATCTCTAAATCCAAGTCCTCCCATATCCTGGGGAATGCAAATTTTATCGCAGGCAATCCAATGTATCATGCTGCTGTTCTGCTTTGAGCTCCACAAAAAATTGGCAATGGCACTCTGCAGTTTGTCAGTCACTCCTTGGAGTAATAAAAAGCATGACATGACATACATAGGAACGGCCTGTGCAACCTATTTTATTTGAATTTCTTTTCCACCTTTGGCAAGAAGTCTTGCAGACCAATTATTGACTCAGTTACTCAAGCGGTCATGGACGTAAGAGAATACTTTTTTCTTTGATCCACAAATTTGTTCTGGAAGACCCAGATACATACCCATGCCGCCCTCCGATGATATTCCGACGGCATTCTTGATACCTTGTTTTAAATACGGGTCCACTATATTCCCAAACATAATGGATGATTTGCCCAGGTTAAGTTGTTTTCCCAAGGCTGATCCATATGTAGTAATAATCTTGAAAACCTCGGCTCCCTGTTGGATATCTGCTCTACAGAAGAAGAGACTATCATCAGCAAAAAGAAGGTGTGAAACCGGTGGACTCGCTTGAGCTACTTTCAGCCCAGAAATACATTTTTCCTCCTCTGCTCCATTGAGTAGTGAGATAAGAGCCTCAGTGCACAAAAAAAAAAAAAGGTAGAGAGCGGATCTCCTTGCCGCAATCCTCTCGATGTAATGATTTTTCCCTTCGGTTTGCCATTTATAAGGACTTGGTATGAGACCGAGGAAATGCAGAACATCAAGGGTCTGACCCATCTCTCAAAGAATCCTAGCTTGATCATAAGGGATTCAAGGAAACTACATTCTACCCGATCATATGCTTTACTCATGTCTGTCTTGATGGCCATGAAATTTTCTCTACAAACGGAGTTGGTGCGGAGGTTATGAAAATTTTCTTGTGTCAACAAAATGTTATCTGTAATAAGACACGTAGCCATGAAGGCCGACTGAGTTTCAGAAATCAGGTTTGGTAAAGTCTTTTTGAGACGTTTACACAACAGTTTGGAGATGATCAGGTAACTCACGTTACACAGGCTGATCGACTGAAATTCCGCCATTGCTCTAGGTTTTGCTTTTTTTTTTGGGATTAGAAAAATATAAGTCTTATTTAATCTAGGTTCAAAAGATCCCGATACAAAGATGTCTTTCACCAGTTTTACTGTGTCTTGGTGGATATAGGGCCAAAATTTTTGATAGAATTAACTCGTCATTATATCAGGCCTGGGGCTTTGTCCGGATTAATATCGAACAAAGCTTCTCCTACTTCTCCCCGATAGATCCTTCAGAAGAAGTTGGTTTGAGTTATCTGAGACTTTCTCGGGTAATGAACCGGAGTGAATCTTCCGGGGCTGAGGGTTGAGACGAGGAGAAGAGATCTTGAAAGTACTGTGAGGCCACCCTTTCAATTCCTTTTGGATTTTCTACCAAGTGTCTGTTACTATCTGTAAGGGAGACAGTGCAGTTTTGGGCTCTCCTTTGATTAGTGAGGCCATGGAAGAATATTGTATTTTTATCCCTGTATTTATGCCATTTTTCTCGACTTATCTATTGCCAAAAAATTTCTTCTTCTCGAAGTGTGGCATAGAGCTTCCTCCTGATCTCTTCTGTCTCTTCTAGCGTGGTATTGTCGTCATCTTGGGCTATGTCCATTTGATTCTTTAATTCTTTAATCATCTTTTTAGAGTTAGTCGGAAGAGATTTCTTCCAAACAGAGATGTTTTTCCGACATTGAACTATTTTTTGATGAAATTCTCAACGTGAGATTTCATCAAAAGTGCCCCTCCCAGCAACGACTTTCTCTTTAAAACCTGGCTTTCCGATCCATTTTTTATCAATCGAAAAAAAAATTTCCTTTTTTTGTTGTCCATCTTTATCATAGTTAGGACGGGACGATGATCTGATCCCCAAAGTTTCATGTATTCCACAGAAGTGTGGGAAAATTTAGATAGCCATTCTTCATTTCCAAGGACTATATCTAGGCAGCATTTTACTTTACCTGACCGTCTTCTTCCCACCCAAGAGAAAGAATTACCCTTGTATGGAAAATCAAGCATTCTACAATTATCTATCATAGTCTGGAATAGAATAAAAGAAAGTTCAGACCTCCTCTGGCCCCCTCGCTTCTCGTGATTTCCGGTTATTTTATTAAAGTCTTCTATCATAAACCAGGCTTCTTTTCTGGTTAATCTCATCCTTGTCAGGTGTTCCCAAACCTTATCTTGGTTTTTTACGACCGGAATACCATAGACGAAAGTCATAAATTTTTTATGTCTGTCTAGACTTGTTTCAGCATCAATCAAATGCTCATCAGAATAGATAATAGAGACTGTAGGTTCATCCATATTAAAAAAGACCTGAACCGCCGCTTCGACCTCTCGGTTCAACGGTACAGACATGGTCATAGCCAAAATACATTTGCATATCTTGCATAAGTATCCGATTGTTCTTAGTTTCCGATAAAAATAAAAAACGAGGCAAAAAAACAATGAAGGAGTTCTTCAAGGTAATCCTTCGTCAGGTCGGCTCCCACGCCTTGACAGTTCCAACCAATCACATTCATTTGGGGTGGTTCGCTGGTTTCTGGGTTCCACCCAAACCAGAAGAAGATGGGCCTTTTGGCTTTTGGCCCTTTGGAGGCTTTTCACCTTTGGGCCTCTCATTTTTTTCATCAGATGGGTTTGGGCCTGAGTTAGATGCCTTTCCTTTACCCTAATTTTTTGGAGAGATCCGGCCCATGGCAAAGCTCCTTTTTTCAGCGACACACCAATATTAGCCGGCGACTTTGGGATCTTGTGTATCTTCCCAAAGACCAAC